CCACACAGTGTGACCAACCTTATATAAAAATTTTGTGTTTTACAATTTGCTCTCCGTAAAGTTAGGGATTGAATTTCATCAAAATCATCAAGATTTTAGGTAATTTTAATTTTTCTTGATAAATATGAAGTATGTTAATAATTGGATCATTTATCACTTATTACAAGATGTACATTGTTTGAATTATTTTCTATTTTTCCACATATTGCTATAGCTTGAAGCCTTGAACTATTTCCCACCATATTTTTTTATAACAAAAATCTTTCTAAGGAAATCTATAAACATTTACAAATTAGAAAATTTATTCCCTTTTTTTTTTTTTGAGGGGATTCCTTTCTTTATTATTACATCGTGAAAATGTCGCTTCTTTTAAATATGATTTAAACCTTTAATATCATTAATTATATATTGCAATTAAATTGCAGGGATTAGTGAGTTGAATGATTTAACACAAAAATCATAAATAATCTAAGTGTATGCTAATCATTCCTCTTTAGCAAAAAGAACAATATAAAAATATTCACACACATTAAAAGAATAATAATTAGTGGCTAATCACAGACGTCAAAAAATAATATTTAAATAAAAAAGGAGTGCGCTAAGAAAGTGAGCCACTCGCTAATTGTAATTATGTTAATAATAAAACTCCAAAATCAAACCAAATATAATGGGGGGACTGAGTCACTCAGTTTATATAATTCCGAATCTTTGAATAATAAAATAACATTTGTGTTTTATTTTCTGAGGATATCTTCAAACAATACCGCTTTTTTTTTCTTTCTAGATCCTTTCTCTGTATTTCTCTCAAGGGTTTTTAGCTTGGAAAGTTGACTCTTTTAAATTTCTTTCTCTCCCCTTTGAAGTATTTTTGTTCAGGTATTTATATTTTTTCTCAAGACTGGATTTTTTGGTTTATTATTTTTATTATTACTTGTATTTTTACTATTGTTATTTAGTGGTTATATTGGGTTTTTAAGCTGAGATTTGTACGAGTATGAAATTAGCTGAAATATTGTATTGGGTTTCCTTTTTTTTTTTTTTTTTAAAAAAAAATTAAAATTTTAGTGTTAAGCTCATTTATTGGGTTTAAGTTGAGATTTGTGATATAAACTGAATTTGAACTGTATGTATCTAATTTCTGTATATATACATTTTTTTTTAATTAATTTTACTATATTTGTTAGGCTTTAAGCTGATATTTGTGTAATAAAGCTGAATTTTGAACTGGGTATGTCTAATTTCTATATTTTGATTGATTTTACTGTAATTTTTGTTTTTTTAATGAGGTTTAAGCTGAGATTTGTGTGCAATATCCGATTTTGTCATCTGGGTATTTTTGTCAGTTGAAGTGGATAAATTGTGTTGATTATATATGGAGGTTATGATTATTAGAAAAAGTTGCTGATTTTGTTTTATTTGTCATTTTTCATGTTGCTGTGATTCATATTGGTTATAGTTTGTGCCTATGGATCCACAATTAGAAGAGTTATATGGGACTTTGCATCGAATCAAGTTCAATAATCACAAGGTTCCGAATTTAGCAAGTAACAATCATTTTGATACGGCAAAATTGCAAGATCCCAATTTGAATTTGAGTTTTGCAAACCCTCCATTGATTCACCAAAATCCGAATTTTAATGTGGGTGTACCATCAGTTAGTCAGGAAACTGATTCATCTCTTCACGAAGATTATGATCTTAGTGATGTTGTTCTTAAGTACATCACTCAAGTCCTGATGGAAGAGGATGAGGAAGAGAAAACCCGTTCACATCACGAGCCTTCAGCTCTTGAAGCAACAGAGAAAACATTGTATGAGGTCATAGGGGAGAAGTATCCTTCACCACAAAACCTATATAACTTGCCTAATGCTAAGCATGATAGCTGGAATTTCAATGGTGCTGGCAGTTTGATCACTGACAGTTACAGTGGAGCGAGTAGTAGTAGCAGCCTTGTGCACTCTAATTGGCCTGTTAATCCTTATGAATATAACCCTGTACCTATAGTTGATTTTTCCAAGCCTTCCTCAAACTTGTCATTGCAAACATCAAATAGTTCATCAAATAGCTCAGGGAGGCAATTTGATGTTCATTTTAACTATGACTCACCATATAGTACAGCGAGTAATCTTTTTGGTTTAGCAGATGCAACAGCGGAATCTCCTGTGAGTGCCCTTAATGTGTCTGAAATATTCAATGATAGTCAGTCGATGTTGCAGTTTCAAAAAGGGCTCAAGGAAGCAAGCAAGTTTCTTCCGAATGTTCTTCTATCCAAAGATTTGATGAACAATGGCTCCTCTCAGAAGCTAGTGGGTGCAGCATCCCGTGATGCAGTAATCAAGCTGGAAAACATGCATAACAACCAGATTCCAGCAGACTTGTTGATTGGAACGAAACACCGCAGTCGAGATGATTTTCAGTTGGAAGAAAGGAGGGGAAACAAACAGTCAGCTGTTTCCCATGTTTCTGATGAGGCAGTTATGAGATCGGAAATGTTTGATAAGGTGTTATTGTGTAGTGGGGGTAAAAATGATGCAGCTCTTCGGGAAGTTTTACAGAGTGGACTAAACAAAAGTGCACAAAACTCTCAGCCAAAGGGATCAGGTGGAGGGAGAGGACGTGGGAGGAGACAAGGCAGCAGGATAGAGGTAATAGATTTAAGATCACTCTTAAGCCTGTGTGCACAAGCTGTTGGATCAAATGATCAAAGGAACGCAAATGACTTGCTTAGGCAAATTAGACAATATTCTTCTCCCACGGGAGATGGAAATCAAAGAATGGCACATTATTTTGCAGATGGATTAGAGGCACGCCTTGCTGGTGTTGGAACTCCTATATATAGTTGTCTTCTCACTGGTCCAGCATCTGCTGTTGATATCTTGAGAGCTTACCACATGTTTTTAGCTGTATGCCCTTTTAAGAAAATTGGAAATTTCTTCTCTAATAGAACGATTGCAGCAGTGGCAGAGAAAGCTACGCGACTTCATATAATTGATATTGGTATAGTCTATGGTTTTCAATGGCCTTGTCTATTTCAGCGCCTTTCATCAAGACCTGGTGGCCCCCCCAGAATTCGTCTTACTGGAGTTGATCTTCCACAACCAGGGTTTCGGCCTGCCAAAAGGGTAGAAGAGACAGGGCGTCGTTTGAAGAATTATGCAGAGTCATTTAATATACCATTTGAGTTCAATGCTGTGGCTAAGAAGTGGGAAACAGTTACTGTTGAAGATCTGAAGATTGATAGTGATGAGGTGCTAGTTGTGAACTGTATGCTCAGATTAAAATATGTACCTGAGGAAACAGCAATGGTGGAATGCCCGAGAGATATGGTTCTTAACCTTGTAAAGCAGATAAAACCAGCTATCTTCATACACGGTGTAGTTAATGGGGCTTTCAATTCCCCCTTTTTCATTACTCGATTCCGTGAGGCTCTCTTCCATTTCTCAACTCTTTTTGATATGCTTGAGACTAATCTTCCCCGGGATATTCAAGAAAGGATACTGATTGAGAGAGAGATATTTGGGCGACAAGCGATGAATGTGATTGCCTGTGAGGGTTTAGAAAGAATAGAAAGGCCAGAGACATACAAGCAGTGGCAAGTCCGAAATGAAAGGGCTGGATTCAGACAGCTGCCTTTAAACCCCGAGATTTTGAATATGGCAAAAAAGAGGGTGAAATCTGTGTATCATAAAGATTATTCCATTGATGAAGACGGGAATTGGTTGTTGCAGGGATGGAAGGGTAGAATTGTCTATGCTCTCTCAACTTGGAAGCCTGTCTATGAAGATCTTTCAGGCACTAAAAAAGGTTGATCAAGAATTTTATGCAGAAGCCCGACTCGTGCTGAAGTGTGTCAAATATTATTGTATGCATCTCAGTTCTCAGTTCTCAGTTCATATGACCTGGTAAAAGGCCACTCAATGTGCATTTTTCTGCTTAATTTGTTTTCCTAGCCTTTTATGTACTCTATAGTCTTAACATTTTCTGCTTTGCAGGTCAAGGAGAAATGAAGCCACTGCTTACCAATCACCATGCATCAAGTGTCGGCACTGTAATAGTTGAGAAGCGCTGCTTTGCCCTGTTGATGCGCAGTTCATCTTCTTAGGAGATTACTCTGATATTGTATTGCAGAGACCTTTTTTTTTTCGGGCTTGGGAGATTACTCTTATTGGGGGTGGTGGTCCTGGCGATTATGGCAGAACTAATGTCAGTCGACGTGCAAGCTACCAACCTCTATCCTTTAAAGTGGTTTAGCATTATACGAGCAAAAACAATTTTTAGCTGAAGGATTCCAAAGTTGGACAATATGATCCTTCAAGTGCAAAAACATTATACAGCTTAAGAAAGCTGGTGGAATTGAATTGCTGTATTTTCTGCTATTTTTGAGGTTTTTCTGAGGAAATCTTCTTTTGCTTTTAGTTTCATTTTATAGAAGTAAAACCATATGAAAGCGTATGGCATGTATACGAGTTGCATTGCATAAGTGTCAATGCAACTTACCTAGGAAGTGCTACTGGTTTTTTTTTTTTTTCAATGCAATAGTGCAGCTACTAGAGATGCCTGTATCTTTCTTTCTCATGTAAGTCCAAGTTTTTAGTTGGGTAACCAATAGCAAACATTTGAATTGTATCATTTGGCTTTATGTGTTTCAAAACTTTCACAGTAAAGAAGCCTTTTTAGTTTTTACCATCTGTTTTTTCATTATGGGTTTGACAAGGGTAATCAAGTTAGTAAGTTACTACTCCCTTTGTATTTTATTACGTGCTCCATTTCTCTTGGACACGTATGTTGATGCAAATCTTTAATTAATAATATCTTTAATTATCAATAAGTATTTTACAACAACAATCACCAAACAATAAGGCTAGGCTATTTTTCTCTTTTATTTTAGGGAAGGTGACTAACCCCCTAATTATATGGTATAGGCTATTGAAGTCTATTTTATGGTTGAATGTGCTTTAATATATGTTCCAAACTTGCAATCATAGTTAGGTTTAGCATAATTAATTTAGATCATAAAAATAAATTCATAGAAATATTTTTCCATTGCCGAGATTTAAATCAAACACTCTAAACGATAATCGTAAGGCAAATACTAACGAAACGACCCGGGTTAGCAAGGTCGTACTAATAACTTAATAAGTAAATAACTATCTCACGAGTTAAACAGGCAAACTAGAAAGGTGACCAAAACAAAGAGAGGGGATGAGCGGAGCAGGAGTTCCAGACTTCTTCTACAGAGAAGCTCAACGACTTGGCTATGTTGCTCGTTCTGCTTTCAAGGTTTTCTTATTTACACTTTCGTACAATATATATACTTGTACATTACAACATTCAAATTTGCTCTTATTTTTGTCTCTTTTTTCTGGGTAAATTGAATTGAAAGAGCAGTTACTGCAATTACAAGAGAAATACAAGTTAATTAAGCCAGGTTCATCTGTGCTTGATCTGGGCTGTGCTCCTGGAGCTTGGCTTCAGGTCTTTTTTCATTCTTTTCTCTTTCAGACATTTTGTCGAACATATGGTAGGCATTGTTTTATTCTTAAGATTTTTATATAACAGGTAGCTTGTCAGAGCTTGGGTCCTCTCAAAAATGGTGGGACTGTTGTGGGTATTGACTTAAAGGTATATTCATCTTCTGGGTCAAGTATATCTTGTTATGATATTGGAGTTTTTGAAATGTATTTAATCTTTGGTGTTTTTTGCAGAGCAGAAGGTGAAAGTCCCTTCTACTTATTGTGATGCTAGGGTCCAAACTGTTTGTGGTGATGCTATGAGTCTTTCTAGGGACCATATCAGATCACTGTCTCCTAAGGTATGTCATACTTCTATGTTTTCTCACTTTGCTAACTTACACAATTTTGCATGAAACTATTGTAGTTTGTGACTGTTAATGTAGTTTGCCTATACTTGGAGCTAAGGGTTGATGATTGGTCATATGTATTTCATGCTAAAGATTCATATATAACTGATAATATTATCTGTAATTTGGAACAGAATTCGAGTCCTTTTCAGTGAACATACTAATATATGGTCATCGCGTCAAGTTGTATAATTCAAAGCATTGAACCTGTTATTGATTGGTTTATGCAGAAGGGATTTTCCGTCATACTATCAGATATGTGTCCCTTAGTTTCTGGAATCAAGTCGAAAGATGCAGCCTTGTCAGCTGAGTTAGGCATGCGAGCCCTTGACCTGGCTGTTGGAAGTGCTGCTCTTGCCCAAGAAGATGCCGAGCCTGAGACGAAAGAGGAGGCTGATGATAAGGGCATATTGCTCCCTGGTGGCAACCTTGTCATTAAGCTTTTGGAGGGTGAAGATATGAAAGGTTTGTTTGATTGTTTCCAATTTTTGAAGCTTGTTCTTCTGCAGCTATTTGCTGTTCTTACATCAGTTTTGTGTTCTTGTAGAATTTGGTCAAATTTGCAAACCAATCTTCAAAAAGGCGTCGTGGTTGAGACCCAAAGCTACAAGATCAACTTCAAGAGAAATATACTTGATTTGTCAAGGACTGCGTCCATGAAGTTTGGAGTTTCTGAAAGGATCTAAGATTTTGTGTAGGAACTTATTGTATGTAGGCTCTACGAGTTTATTGACTAGCGATTTGAGGAAAATTTTTAAAACAAAGAAGAAATTCAGATAAATAAATCATTTTGTGTATATGTATAATGGCTTTTGTGTATAATGGCTTTTGTGTAGGCTCTCTGTGAGTTTATTGGCAGACCAATTTGAGGAAAGAATTCCAATCCAAACATACTTGATTTGAGGAACTTATTTTATGTAGGCTCTACGAGTTTATTGACTAGCGATTTGAGGAAAATTTTTAAAACAAAGAGGAAATTCAGATAAATAAATCATTTTGTGTATATGTATAATGGCTTTTGTGTAGGCTCTCTGTGAGTTTATTGGCAGACCAATTTGAGGAAAGAATTCCAATCCAAACATACAAGAAATTCAGACAAATGAATTACGAGTATCATGTGTAATACATTGTGCAAAACTAATTTCATCTACATTTTCGTGTCACAGATTTCCAATTTTTGACTATACAAAATTCCACTATACAGATTTACTCGCTATCTATGGACCTTGACATAATGCCGCCTATGCTGGTGCTCACTCTTGGATACTTAATCCGAATAGTCTCAACGAATATATGTTCGCCCCAATGACCACAGACCAGTTTCTTTGACTGGCGCCTGAAAAATTTTAAGAAAAATTAGCAGTCTGAATCTATTAAAATTCAATTAAGCAGCATTCTAGGCTCCAACATACATACCGGTGTTTTAACAGAAGGGAAGATATTCCAAAATCTAAGGGTCTCATCTCCTGCCCCAGTCACTATCGTCTGCAGATTCAGAAATACTGCATTAGTGGATGGATAATACAAAGCAAATTTAAGAAAAATTATACGACGTATTGACTATCCTGCAAACAGAACTGTATTACCTGACCATCAGGGGAAACAGCAAGATAAAGAACACGCAAACTATGTCCCGTTAGTGTAGCAACCTTTGCAAGTGAAGGATACTTCCACACCATAATCTGATTCTGAGAATACCCATGGGTGCTAACAAGTTCATTCACATTCTTACTCCATGCAAGATTGCACACCTGCAATATCAATGCAGAAAATTAGTACCTTTTGGCGCAAACTACAGATATTCTAGGACAAGTACAATACAAAGATGACCATACCTGACTTCCTGTATCAATGCTGTTTGTTTGATTCCCATTTGTAGTATTCCAAAATCGAATACAACGGTCTGCAGTTCCGCCACCAGAAGCTAGAAGACCACTCTGGTGGGGTGACCAAGCTATGGCCTTCACGGCGGCTGTATGCTCAGTCAGTTTCAGAACTGGCTGCTGAGAATGCTGGTTCCATACCAATAGCTGATTTTTTTTCATGAAACATGCAATCAGTCAACTTTCAGAATATCTTTGATTGTGAAACCACTTACTATTTGAAAATTGAATACTATCTAATTACCTGATTGTCATTGCCTCCAGATGCAAGCTCCCTATCATCATGAGACCATTTTAACCCACACACCTAAAGAATGATCACAAACAAAAAAACTTATTGAATTCACAGCAACAATAAAAGATTAGTACTCTACATTCCAGTAAGAAAGACAAGGTATTGCCTTTACCTCAGATTTATGTCCAACAAGCTTGCTAACATAGTCATTCGAGACACGTAGATCGTGTTGAAGTATGTTCCTGTCTCTACTTCCAGAGGCTAGAATACGGGAACTCCATGTCAGAACACCAGCTCTTGTTTGATGACCACTCAAAGTTCTGACCTTTTTGCATTGAGTTCCATCCCATACCTAAACAAATCAACCATTGTTACACATTTATGTCTACATTAACACTTACTGTACTAAAGACTGATTCTAGCATAATCACTTGCCTGAACTTGACCACTAGTTGTTCCAACTGAAACATAGGAGCCTTCTTTTGTCCATTGAACAGCACAAACACCATCATTTGGTCCCAAATCACATAATTTTGTCACCTAAAATACATATTGGAAAAATCCCATCTTTAGTACAGCACAAACAATTGCAATTCAATGTACACTCAAGATACATCACCGCGATTTCTAAGACTCAAAAGCTTGAGGGGGAGTAATTTGACCTAATGTTGGAGCATAGAATTGGATCATAACTAATAAGTGATAAAATTAGCTCAACCATAAGTTAACATCTACTACCTACCTCACAAATGCACCAAATTTGATTGTGATTTGGAACTCAATTATTACTTACTTAAAATAAGTGCAATATCTACTAACACAAGACTACTTACTTTGCTATTAGATGCATTCCACAAGTACACACAGGTACCAAGTCCAACAGCAAGCAAATTTTGAGATGACCAATCAACCAAATTCAAGTAGAAATCATCCTGTAATGAAGGAGCATCCAAAACCTAAAATCCAAACAATAATTTCTTTAATTAACAATAAAGTCACTTATATACAAAGATATTCACAAAATATATCTAACTTAACTTAGTTATATCCTAACAAAATCAATCAAAAAAATACATATACAAAAAATCCTTAAGATAAAATATACCTTATGGGGTGTCTTGGGAACCCTCCTAGGAGGCTTAGGAGGGGTAGAGACCTCATTAGAAAACCCTGAATCGCGGCCGAGGGCAGAAGGTGAGAAAGCTGAATTAGGGGAAGAATACTCCATCTTGAACCTCAGCATATTCTTGTTAGGACTACTGATAGGTGATCCTGCAGCAGAACAAGGAGAAGCAACAAAATCAGCACCAAACAATTCTTGTTTTAACAACCTAGTATAAGCCTCATGATTCCCCCCTTCTTTTTTAGCATTAGGAGAAGATGATGATGGTGATTTCTCAATCAACCCAAATGTATGAAGTCTTGAAGAAGATCTGCAAGGTATAAATCTGTCACTGCAAATCGATTTCTTCGATGTCGGCGACGATGTTGCTGCTGATAAGCTAGTGATTGATCTAGGAGATGAAACTGATCTAGGAGATGATAAACATAGATTTGATCGAAATGGGGTTGTTTCAATTGCTATTTTTGAAGTTGGTGTTCTTTGAGTTTCCAATCTTAAGGATGTCTGTGACATCCCAGATGGAAGATTAATCCCACTTTTCCTCCTTTGTTCTAACTCCATTTTTTTGTTCTTGAATTTCTCAGCAAAAAGATTGAATTTTTTTTCTGGGGTGAAATTAAAATGCCACTCTCTCTGCAAAATAATGAATTTATCAAGCAAAGAGAGGGCAATTTAATTTAATTATTAGGGTTTAATTAATTTGTAACGGTCAGCAAGTGAAGGGTTTAAGGTAAGAAATGAAGCTGAGAATTTTACAGAAAAAGAGGGAAAAAGGAAAATGAAGAAGAGGTTTGGTATTGAGGTTTTAAAGGGTGAGAGACTCCAACGGTCGAATTTTCCGAATCGTAGCTACGAAGCTTGTTTTGTTTTTTGTATTTTTTTTTTATCCTTTTGGTGTATTGGGCCCACACAAGTAGGTAGCCGTTGGTTGGAGCTGGATTTTGGCTACTGTTAATGTTTATGATCCACCTAATTATCATCCTTTTTTTTAATTAAGATTATTTTAATAGAGGTAGTAACATATAAGCCAATCTTGAAGAAGAGAACATACCCTAATTTTTTAATAAAAAAAAACTCGTATAGAGTAGAACAAAATTACATTGGACAAACGACAATCAAAAGTGTTGAGCTTCTCATGTATGTTGGGAATCTCCGCATTTGTAACTTGACATCTACCCTATTGAGATTATTGACAAAACTAAATCTTGACTAAACGTGTGTCAAGCTAAAATGATCTTGCATTCTTGCCAATTGATTAAGTTGACTAACAATAAACATAAACTTCCTTTATACATCTATGGATACTCCTACTCGAGGACCTTTTCATCTGGTGCACTAGTGGTTTGGTCATAGCGTATACCTGAACTTGTATCTCCGAAGCCAATCTTCACCCTTTTCTGCATAATCCATTTTAGTGAAAGTTTGCTCAGGAAAATGCAAAGAAGCAGCATATGAAGAAGCCCCTCGCCATGCATCAAATATAGGATCGTTTGCCCTAATTACTCTAATAGGAGTCCCACATGGCCGAATCATGCGGACTCCAGCTTCCAAACGCTCACTCAAGCCGGGGAATTGAGAACTCCCACCCGTCAAGAGGATGGAGCTGGTCAACTTCTCCTCCAAACCTTGGCCCTTGGGTGAAAACCTTCTCATAGATATACCAACCATTTCATCCAATCCAGACTGGTCAATCCCAACTATATTAGGGTTGAATAGAATTTCTGGGCATCGGAATCTTTCCACCCCCATTATAATCTGGAAATCCTCCTTGGTGAGAGGACGAGCGCGTGGAACATCAGCAGGTTGACACAATCCAGAGTCTGGTTTTGGAGTGAAGGTCGGGTCAATATCCTGCAACAAATTAAAAAAAATATGTAAGAACTGCAGCAGCCATTTAAATATATTTGCTCAGACTGAACATGACACCTTAACTTGCCTGGAGTCTAGAAGAGATGCGTGCTAACTCCGTCTCATCTACATCAGGACCCTCATCCTCATCATCATTATCTTTACTCATTAACTTGTAGAGTTGCCAATCTTCATCTCTAGCGCCAAAAGTGTCTTCACCTTTCCCTCGATCAAAAGCAGCTGTTGTTAATAAGCGCATTCTCTCTTTCTTTGCAGCATTCATTCTCTCACCACGACCGACACCACCAGATGTAGAATTTCCATTCGTGCTGTTTCCATTCGTCTTTAACAGCTTCTTCTGTTCAACTTTTTCTGAAAGCTCTTTATATTTGGTTCGCAACTTCTCCAAGTACATCTCAGGGTTTTCTCTGCATCAAAATTATGGAAATTTGGGTCATGGAGTTGTTATTGATATTCTACTAGTAATTGGAGGGTAGAAGATGACTGCACATCCCATTGAAAAACAATCAAGCAGTCCAAACAGAAGGCATAGCAGTATAGCATGGCAGTAACATGGATTTCCCATAATCAAAAGCCAAGCTCGCCACAACACTTTAACTTATGTTAGTATCTTAATGCAGAATCATGATGAGAAATGTGGTAGCTTCAACTCTGCCATCCAATTAGGCTTTCCCAGGGAAAATCTCACAAACACACACACACACAAAAAAAAAAAAAAACAAAAAAAAAACAAAAAAAAAACAAACAAACAAAACAAAACAAAACAAAAATCAACAAATTAATAAAAGAAAAGAACAGAAAGGTAGCAACATACAAACGCTTTTCTTCCTCTAGTTGATTTTGCTTCTCTCTTTGTAATTCCTCTTCAGCACGTTTCTGTCTAGCTCTCTGACGACCCTCAGCTGTAGTCTTGAGAAAGATCTGCTTCTTCTTCTCCTTCAGCTACAACCAAACAACAGGCAACAGTAAATAAAGATAACCAAATATGAAAAGATCAGCATCATGGAGATCAGCTAATTTATAATAAGTGGCACTCCTGACATCAAGATCCTGAATACAGTACCAAAAGGTTTTAGGTTAGGTCAAATAACTGAATTCCTTTCATATTCATCATTCAGCCACAAGACAGGACAAATCAAAAAGTCTAGCAAGAATGCAGCACAGACTACAGATGACACTAAAGCTAACCTGCTCTGGAGTCAGCATGTTATCAAGGAAATCAACAAGGGAGACTATAGCTAACCTGATCTGGAGTCAGCATGTTATCAGGGATATCAACAAGTGGAAACTTTTCAGCTGTTACTGCCTCTGCCTTCTCCTCCAGTTCAACTTGTTCACGCTTAGTCTTTCGCAAAGATTGGTTCACCTTAGCAACAGAAGCTTCTATTTCCTGTTTAGACACATAGCCGGTACTTGAAAGAAATGCTGGAACGGCATCCTCATTTACATTCTCCAGCTGCCTCAGAAGAAAATCCAAACCACGCAGCTCATTTTCCAATTCATTAATTCGTGATGCCCTCTTTGCCTCAGCCATTTCCCGCAATCGTTGACCTTGTCTCTCTTTGATAGCAGCCTTTCTTGCAATCTCCTCTTCAGAAGGTTGCTCCTCAACAGGTGGAGGAGTAAATGGAAGTTGCCAACACCTAGTCTTTTCTTCAGCTTCATTAGTTTCATTCTGTTACAATTACCAAAATATACTAGTGTAAGGAATCAGAGAGAGAGAGAGAGAGAGAGAGAGAGAGAGAGAGAGCACTACCTGGAACAATTTAACCTCTGAAGCGTAGTCTTGAGCAATGTAACCGTGTTCCATTTTCAAGTCTTCAACTTTCTCCCATGTAAACTTAGCCCTGTCACAAATGATAGGACAAAAAAATAAGTCAACCTGAAAGCTAACTTGTAAACACCAGACTAACTAAAATATGCTTACAAGTGCTGTGGATATTTCAGGGAAAGAAGCTGCTTCATGTAATCAGTAACATGGTATCCACCAACATTACTTCGGCAGCACGCTTCAAAAACAGGCTCACCTTCAACAAACTAAAGACAGAATTACAAAAAGCATCAGCAGAAATCGGAATGCAACTATCATCAAACAGAAATGATGCAAAAACTTTGATGCTCGTCTGCAGCTAAAGGATTTTACAAGCAATTGTAAGTTGAAACCATGCAAGAAAAAAAAAATCTACAACCGACATTTAATTAAAGTTACACCATTTTGACTTTTTGCACTATTCACATATTAATTCTGACCTTGATTCTTTTACTAAAATAAAATATAAATGCAATTATATAAGTTGTTGGCATAGTATCAATTTATATTTTCAAAATATAAAATTGTTAATTTTTTTAACAACTATTGAGTAGATAAATAGAAATATTCATTGTCAAAGTTGTTCATCATCAAATAGGGTAAGTCTTTTGCAATCATTTTAAATTTATTACACCCTTACGGCCTTACCCCAAAATCTAGCACAGTACATATGAAAAGAGGAGAATGGGAGGAAGCAATGCTTTAGTAGCACTCTTCTCTTCCCCAAAGGTATCTAAAGTGACAATGTTGAGCTCAGAATTTGATGAATAGCGTACTTACCACATCTTCTTTAAATTTTGTCTTCCACTCACTGTGTGCATTAATGAAAAAGGTGTGACCAAGTATCCTTATGCAAATAACTCAAGCCAACTCTACGCATTTGAAACCTTGATGGTCAATTAGTTGCACTAGTGTCTAGGTTTTTTTTTTAAAAGAAAAATAACACCCATCAGAAATTAAGGCCATGGGATCAGTAAGTCCTAGAGTTCTACCATGGTATACACTGAAGTGTGACTGATCAGACAGCAGCAACCAGAAAGAGGTTACTGTCATCCTCCATTTTCCAACAAGTCTTGTAAAGTAATGCACATTTATTATGGCACACCGAGGCAATAGGAATATCCCTGTGCCTTGCCTTCAAAAGCCTCGGTGTGCCTCATTTTGTGAAAAAAAGGGGGGGAAATAAATTATACACCTTAGTCTGCCTCACGAAAAAAGAAAGTTGCCAAGTCGACTTACGCCTTAGTGCCTAGGCCAGCCTTATACACTGTAGTTGACTACTATATTGGAGGTTGCATAGGAAGGCTAACAAAAACAATACAAGGGGTGAACCCTTTTCAATCTTCAACCAAGATACTCAATAGAACTAATCACACACATGGAGCCACCCACAAGTTGACAATTTTAGCTGTAGAAGAAAGGAATTTATATGTTTTCATATATTTAGAAAGAAAAAAAAAAGGCAACACTTACTGGTATGACATGGCTCGTGTTGAATCCACTGCAAACAGCAAGGCCTTCTTTATCACAAACACCAAGTCGCTGATTATATGTGTAACTAAACGCAGCATCAACACCAAACGCTGGGAAATGAAAGAAGTAATCAGAAAACTCAAAAGGGAGGATCAGGCTTCACCATTCTCTCACAGAAGCAGTATAAAGGTTGTGTAACAACAATGAAATTGAGTACAACACTTGTGCTCTATACTACGTATCAGTCTACTAAGTTGAACAGTAATGATGTTCAGGAAGAACATGGACGATACAAACCATGACTCTATCAGTACTGCCACCGTTAAATACTTCCTGTAATAAAATATCTGCACATTATTTATATAAAGGTTACAGATGGTTCCCGTACCCACAGAAGGAACTCCATAAGACTCAAAAAGAAGCTCTGCCATTCTACAGCGTGATGAAACTGGATTGCATGGACATTCTGTGATCAATACAGGATGATCAACCTGCACTGTCCCCAAAAGAATAGTCAGAATTAAGTATTGATCTTAAGTCAAATTAAAGGGAGACAATCGGTCAATTTTTCATCAAACTGTGCGAAAGGGCAAACACCAATGTCCAATGTCCAATATTCTAATTTGCTATTGTTAAGAAGACAAGTTTCGAAGAAGTGACTTTGTATGCCAATCAACATAGAATACGGTTAAAAACAACCTATGAAACCTACAAGTCACACAGCCATTCGAGATTTAGTCTCTTGGGTTCATTTCATGCAAAGGCACTTCACACTGGTATTTGTCATTACTGAAGAGCTACATTTTAAACAGTTGCATACTTGTTCCCAAGGAAAATTTATGCACAGCACTGGAAACATAAGATATTAATCCAGACATTCTTATAGAAAAAAGGCAGGATTACTAAACTTCAGAACGATCCTCATGTTCCTACCTCCTTTTAACTATAGAAATTAAATTTCCAAAGATTAAACTTCTCTTATAACAAACTTTGGTCAGAGCCTCACGAGTGATCTACTAATAAGATGGGAAACTTTTGGCCATAAATCATGCACAAATAAAGAGGAGCAAAGACAGCCAAAAGCCAGAATGTCAATGAAGGATTGAAGGAGGAAAGCTCCTATTGGCGTTATAAAGCAGATTCCATATTCAAGTGAGAAATGTTAAGGCTATAAAATGAGAAGAATTGGAGAGAACACCTATGACTAGCAGAACCCAAATAAAAGCCACTCTAAATAAACAGGCTCCGCTTAAATCATTGTTTCCTTTAGGAATACAACTAAGATGGAAGTAGGAACCAGATAGTCATATAACCCTATATGGCTATATTCCATAAGGGCACAAGAGCCAAGGTAATAAACATCACATTAGTACACAGGATTACAACCACCATTTTATACAAACACGACTACAGAGGTGATGCCATCAACAGCCAAGTACCAGAAATCATACGCGAAGGGAAAGTAGAATGTCTTTTATAGATAACCCCCCTTCCAGCACAAGCATATCACTACAGCCTCTAAAGCAAATAAGTGAGGAAAAACTATGGACAAACACGCTAAGTAATTACTTAAAATGATACAAAAGATATGGATAATCAATTTCATGACATGGAGGCAATCATCATACCCCAGGCCCATCGACGCCCAACCGGTCAAATCCAAAGTCAAGAATCTGAAAAAAAAAAGAAAAAAAAAAGTTAGGAGTATATGCATTAATGACTTGACAGAAATAACTTAATCGATATTCTGTACATTTAATAACAAGTTCCTAATCTCTCCTGCTGAATACAAAAATTACCAATAAAAGTGACTTTGGGCCAATAAAATACGAAGTAACAAACAACAACAATGCTGAATAGGGAAAACAACAAGCCAAATTCAGAGCATCTGTCAGAATTCAGGCAGTTAAGGTGTGGTCTGCTCAAAATTTATAACTTATCTCAGAGAAATTATGTTATACAAGTAATAAGTTCTATTCGCAGCTACAGTAAGGTTATATAAATTCAGACAAGTTTTGTTTAGTTCCAATAAATTTTGATAAGCTGAATAAAACAACACTCTTTCAATTCACATTTATCATCTACAATAAATTTTGATAAGTTGTACAGATGCTTTGATTAAGTATAGGTAACCTAAAACAAAATCAAGCCAAACAATAACATGGCCAAGGAGCCTTCACAATAAAAAGACTTGAAGACTGAAATCAAACAGGTCAAAACGAAAAAAAAAAAATAAAAAAAAATCAGCCACAATAACATCAATCAATCAATCAAAGCCTTAATCCCATGAGTGGGGCCGGCTACTTGAATCAAAAGTGATTATTCTGTATAGTCATCCGTGTAGTGAAAGTGATTATTTTGTTTAGTCATCCACAAAAAATTTCCTCCTCCATCCCTTACAATCAAATGTCTCATTCTCATGCAAATCCATATGCTAAAACATAAACCTATTACTTGGACTCGGATGAAGTGTCAAATTAGACACGGGTGTCTAAGTATCGGACTCGCCTATTTTCTTGAAAAAAGTTTTGTTTTTAGTTAAAAATGAAGTGTCCAAGTGTCGGTGTCGGTGTCCGACACGAGTCGCGTCGACACGGACACGTGAGGTAAATGAAAGAGTCCAAGTAACATACATAAACAGTGAAATTGAACCTTCAAACCCCCCCCATCAGTTTATCTTGAAGTCGTGATAAAAATTCTTGCATGTATTGCCTCAATAAGATTATATCACTAATGGTACATAGATCGGCGGACCTACTTGTCTTGCAAAGCAACTAAATCAGGGAAATAATTCATGTTCTCTGAAAGTCTAATCTACAGCAATGAATATGATAATAAACTCTAAAAGAATATTGGTAATGCTTACATATTCCATAATCTCAAACTGATAAACAACATTGTTATCAAAAGCTGACCGCGGTCCTGAACGAGTACAATCAAAATATTTCAGCAACGTAGTATCATGATCGCCAACAACAGATACAGTTTCCCCTGCAACAAACCCAGTTCAGTCAGGCAGTCGCATAACACTTAACACGGAATAACTTTTAGATGAACATTATAAAGGGGCAACTACGAACATTAGTCAGTAACAAACGTACACACATGAAGCACCTTCACATAATAAACAACATTGTAATTGTCACTATAGATGTCACAAGCGCACGCACACATAACATATTTAGTACGACCAACAACATACACGTCAAACAACGCAACTAAATCCAAAATTCGGCAAATTAATGTAACAATAGCATCATTGATTTCAACTATTTAATCTAAACTCTTCAAATAAAGGATAGAAATCCAACCTTACCATCCAATTTCAACCAATTGCAACAAACATTCAACTACAGTAGATAATGTAATTTCATGAAAGTCCTTAGCCTAATTTCACAACACAATTGCTAAATTGAAATTTAAATAACACTAAAGAAATGCATAAACATTAAATTACTCTAATTAAAGCTCCAAAAAAAAGGGAATAAACCTGTAGATTTGTGGCGAGGCCTCTGAACAATGTTGCGAAAAATTACCCTAGGATCAGACTCACCAGCCCATCTAAAACAACGAAACAAAAAATTGATGAATTAAGAATCGAAATTAGGGCAAAAACGGGGGAGAAATTAGGGTTTAAGGGAAATACCCAATGCGAAAATAGGAGCCGCCATTGTCGATGACAATTGGAACGGATGAAGGAAACGATCTGTAATCTGTTTGCCTTTGAATTTGGCTGATGAATGGCATTCTCTTCTTTCGTGGTTTTGTGCTTCTTCTCCAGTGGAGCTTTCAACTTTGTCGAAGCTACTGGAAAAGAATGAAGGAGACTATACTAGTTCATCACTTGATGCTCTAGAAGTCGTAACTAGAGCTGTCAAAAGCTGACCCGACTCGAAATACCGACCCTAACCCTAACCCGTCTGATCCCGTAAAAAATGGTGACCCAAATCCGACCTAACCCGACCTGAAACCAACCCTAGACCCGAGTTGACCCAAGTATTTGAGGCCGGACCCGACCATAACCCGACCTGAGAGGATCCGACCCGAATGTGACCCGTAAATTATTGACCTGAATCAAACCCGATTTAACTTGTCAAAACCTGAATTCAACCCGACCCGTTCCTAACCCGACTCGAATTTAAACCCGACATGTTACAAACCCGACCCGAAATCAACCCGACTTGTTATTGATCCGACCCAAATTCAACCCGACTTGTTATTGCCCCGACCCGAATTTAAACTCGACCTATTACTAACCCGGATTTAAACGTATTTGAGGCTATATGAGGTGAGTGAGGTAAATCGGTGATAGTGATTTTGTCTAATTAAATCAGCCAAATGTTTTTTTTTTTTTCTAAATTTAAATTATCTTCAAATTAAACTTCCATATAACTACTTATAATCCTTTTATTGATCCTTTTTTAAAAATTTTAGTATTCACTTGTTTATTTTAATATTTTTTAAAATGTTTTAAATTATACAATTTGATTTGGAGCTTTTAAAAAAAAAAATTAGTGACTTGAACCGAACCCAATTCGAACCCGAGAATGACCCGACTTAATTATAACCTGCAAATTATTGACTTGAATTGAACCCGACTCGAACCCGATAATGACCCGACCTGATTATAACCCGCAAATAATTGACTTGAACCGAACCCGACTCGAACCCGAACAGGACCCTAACTTGTTTAAACCCGCAAAAACCCGAATGTAACCCGACCTATTTTTCACCCGACCCGAATGTAACCCGACCTTTTATTGACCCGACCCAAACCCGATAAGATGTATGACCCAACCCGAACCCGACCCGCATAAGTCCCGACATTAACCCGTACTGACCCGACCCGAGATGACCTGACCCACACTAACCCGACCCATTTACCCGAATTGACAGCTCTAGTCGTAATTATGAATTCTTATCGACCCAGACCGTGCATTAACAGTCTACGCCGGTTTTCGTTTTTTCAACCGGCTTCGTATACAAACTTAATTAGGGCCCTTTCTGATTATACTAAAATGAACTGATCTAAATATTATATGAGAGAAAGACATTACGAACTGAAGTGAAAATGAACTAAGAGAACGGACGCTTAATCTATATTTAGTAGTAGCGAATTTAAGATGGTGTGGCAATGGATCGGATTCGGATTTGGTGGAGGCGTGGAGCTTCAGCTAGATCAATTCGCTATTCCAATCCGCGAATGAAATGGGTAGTTCGGGACATCGGGTAACTAATTGATGAATATTTTACGATAAAATAATCCACATAAAATTTAGAAAAAATTGTGAGAAATGACCTTTATATAGTGAATTATTTGTAAGAAATGACCTTATATAAAATTAAAATATATATATATATATATAAATAATTAAAAAAAATAGAGTAGCAGATTAGAACCTTATATTAAAAAAATAAAATTGTGAGATGGGACTTTTGACAAAATCCGCTCATAGACCCTCGAAAACCACCTCCACTTCCCCGAAATCTCACCTTGGTCCTCGAAAACCACCTCCACTTCCCCTTCACCTCGCCAAAATCCTACACAAACCCTCGAATACCACCTCCACCTCGCTGAAATCTCACACTGACTCCCGAAAACTACCTTCGCCACGCCAATCTCCATAATAAGATCCCATCTCGCATTTTTTTTTTAAAATAAGGTCCCATTTCACAACTTTTTTTTGAAGTAAGGTCTCAATCTATCATCCTTCAAACAAAAAAAAAAAGGTCTCAATCTGTCACTTTTTTTATGTAAGGTCATTTCTCACAAATAAGTCATTTTAAAAGGTCATTTCTTGTTAATTTATGGTGATTTCTAACATAAATTATTATTATTATTATTATTATTATTATTATTATTATTAAAATAAAAAGGAAACTCTACCTACATATTCATTGAATTAATTTGCAACAAATTAAGTGTTTAATTTTATTGTATAATTAAAAAAAAATTATATTAAAAATCTTTATATATGTTAAATGGGTGGGTGGATGCTTAACGGGTGAAAATAGAGCATGATTCACACCCAATCTGATCCATCATCAACTTCATCCATCCGGCCGTCCCGTTTTTCATCCATTTATTTCAGATTTTCGTCCAATTATTTTAAGCGGATGAATGGATTAGTGGATATCCATTTAATATCGTCATCCCTATATGACACTATGATATTTAAATCATTTCTTAAAGGTCTTTAAGTCCAAGTAATATGATTACCATTTTTACGGGCAATCCATACATAAACTTTCTTAATAATGCTTTCTAATAGATTAGTTATTCCTCGCAACTAAAAAATTGCAAATTCCATACAAAACAACATTTTGAATTATTATTTTGAAACTGTCACATAAGATGTTTTACTAACTTATTATCTTCGTTAATAATTTTGTTGTATCATTTCAAAAGAAAAACAAAATGCTAAGGCAAATCTACTACTTCCTCCGTTCTTTTTTACTTGACTCGCTTTGACTTTTACACTATTCACCACCCCTCATTTGACCGTGTTTTGTGAATAATATGTAAGGAAAAAAATATTTATGTCGGATCATTTTAAATTCGTCTCAATAAGGACTATCATAATATATAACTTTTATATTTTTTAATTATGGGTAATTAAAGTTATTGACCGTTAAAATTTTACATTGACAAGCGTGATAAAATAAACACGTCAAGTAAAAAAGAACGGAGGAAGTAGTAGTTTGTGACCGTGTGATTGTATCAGTGGTGTGCATCTGATTGGACTAGTGCAAGAGCAATGGGCAATGAAAAGGTGAAATGGAGACTATTTTGATCATCTTCCCCTATTTTTAGTGGTACGGTAGCATTCAAGGCAAGCATATGGTAGTGCCTTTGCTTATGCCTTGTGGCAGACGACTAATGCTGACATAGCACAACCCACTCTTAAAAGGGCCAGGCCATCGATGTTGCGAGCCTGCGAACCTCATTACCGGGCAACAGAGGGTATGCAGTGACTTTAATAAATACTAGGCCAAGCTTAGAGTGCCATATACTATACTATTAAAGTATACTATTAAAGTACATATTGTTTGGAGTCATATCATGACTCACTTCTCTTTACCTTAATACTCTGTAATCTGTATACTACACCAAGCAAAACTTTGGTGCTTTGGTGAAGTTAGACTATGTTTTCTTCTACCAACTCCACTTATTACACTACTTGTACTATAAAAAAAAAAGGAAAATTTGTCTAAGACAAAGTCAGACCTTAATAAAAAAAAAAAATTGTTAAGGACAACCAAGCTCCACTTTAAGGCATTGAGGCCTTGTTTAGTTCACCTTATTTTTACTTATTTCAGAAAAAATAAGTTCATATCAGATCAGATCAGAAAAAATATCGGATCAGGAAAAATAAGTTCAGATCAGGTCAGATCAGATCATATCAGAAAAAATAAGTTCAGATCAGATAGATAAGTTCAAATTAAATACAAATTATTATTATTATTACATATTATTATTATTAATACTATTATTATTATTATTACATATTATTTCTATTATTATTATTAATATTATTATTATTGTTCAAATTAAACAATAAACAATAATAATTAAATTTTCATTATAAGCTCCAAATCATAAACGTTTACAAATATAATTTTCATCATAAGAAGTTCCAAATTTCCTTCGCTATATTAAGTTGTACTTCGTTCATTAGGCCTTATGATTCTCGTTAAACAAATCATAATATGCTCTTGGTTCGATTTCTATACCACTATCAATGGGTATATCCAACTCATGTAATCGAATAAAATTGTGAAGTGTGAATGCAACAACCATAATCGCCAATTGATGTTTAGTGTCCATATTTGGCATCATTGTGAGTATTTTCCATTGAGATTTGAATTGTCCAAAACATCTCAAATCATTCCAATGATTTGTTACTAGTTTGATATTAAATTGCTTTCCACATTTTACGATCAAAGTACTCACTATTCTATCCCAATTAAGCTTTAAATATCCAAATTCTTTCATCTCCAAACATATGTTCAGCAATATCTCCGTACATTCTTTAGACCATGCAACCCAACCATCCATTACACTATGACAAAGAGCACTTTGGAATCAATATTTCATGCATAAATTATAGACATTAATGTTGAATTGGCACCAACATTATAATCAAAAGGATTCTTTTGAAATAAATGAACTGAAGATAAAATATAATTGTGCTTACATTTTCATCGATATTACTTGCATTAGGTCAAATGTAAAATTCATGAAATCAAATAAATGTATATTTTCCTACATTATCTAAAAAACAATGGACAAATGATAAAATTAATGACATAGAGTGTTGAAGTATTTACCTATGATGGAGATAAAAGACAAACAACCTATTGAACAAATGAATAGAAAAATATTTTAGGAGATTGATTTAGAGTGTGAAAGTTATGACACTAAGATGTTGTTTTATATAGGAAAATAGAGGTGTTACCCATAGTTGTTCGGAATATTGAAATATGAAATGATAATTTTCAATTCAATTTAGTCAACCATTTTACATTACCAAAAAATTTGTAAAATTCCCTATAAAGCTATGACAAATTTAATCTGCAATTTAGGTTTTTTAGGATCCTATTTTAATACTTTATTATAAACAAATTCATTTATGATGTTGGATATTATAAATAATAAAATTATCAAATATTACAAGTATATTACCTTATACTATCTGATAATATTAATACTTTTAGGTTTCTTTTAAAATATTTGTAAGGGATCTAAAATATTTTATAATAATAATAATAATTTTCCTAATAATAATAATAATAATAATAATAAATAATAATAATAATAATAAT